ATATATGCAGTATATATGCGCAATATATTTTCTTTGACATGAAATTTGTCTCCCAATCACAGACTTGGTCTTGACCCTAAACTTTTGGCCAAAATCCTGAATATGAGCTCTGGCCGGTGCTGGTCGAGTGACACCTACAACCCTGTGCCTGGAGTTATGGAGGGAGTCCCCTCAGGGAATAACTACCAGGGAGGCTTCGGCACCCAGCTGATGGCGAAGGTCAGTGTTAAGTCCAGTTGCACTCACTTGCCTCAGCCTGCATTTCAGGTTGAGCTTTAGTGTTTCCACAAGTTAAATCTGTAGGTTCATACATGTTACCCATGTCAATGTAAGGTAATAAAGCGTATTTTATGGCCATAATGGTTACATTTCCTTTAAATAGTGTCAAGAAATTATTATGTCTTATTAGCACCAATATTTTTTTTACTTATGTCTAGAATTTTAATTCGATTTCTTTTTCATTCGTATTCTATGTATCAGATTTATCATGTCAGTTGAGCACTAATCTGTCAAATGTGATGCACACGTAGCAGGGAAAAGGTTTCTGTCTGTGGTCTCACAGTTTAAAATAGTGCCGTGAAGTCTTCAGCTGCACTTTACATCAGTCTTTCTTCACGGGAATCAAGCCCATATTATTACAACAAAATGAAAAAAAAAATCTCTGATGTGTGGACTTGTGGTTTTGGTTTTAGAGTGAAATTTTCAGCTCAATAGGTTTTTCTAAAGTATGTTTGCTTTTCTTTTCTTTTTTTTTAGGACTTGGGCCTCGCACAGAACACGGCCACAAACACAAAGACTCCTGTCCCTCTTGGCTCCTTAGCCCATCAGATGTACCGTATGATGTGCGCACGCGGTTATGCCAGTAAAGATTTCTCCTCCGTGTTCCAGTTCCTGCGCGAGGAGGAGGGTCAGTAATTTCAGCCTCCACCCTGTCCACAGCCTTGCCAGGCTCCGGCCCTGCACAGGACCAACACAAGTGTAGTTGGGGTGCATTTCACCCTGAGGACTTTTTCTCTCTCTCTCTCTCTCTCTCTTTATTTTTTATTTTTAAAGTTGTGAAAGACATCGAGCCCTGAGTGTGCCAATATAGCGAGATGCGTAACGTGAGCACTTCTTCCTATTGGAAATTGTTTCCTGTGTGATCTGTAGCCTTTAAAAAATAATAAAACACTCCCTTTCAACTTAATAAGCAAGTGTATTGTCAGATATGCAGATGTGGGTTCAGAAGACAAGTAGACTGTGAAGCAGCGGCTGCTCTGCAGATCACATTTCTTAAAAAGCAAAGAGTGTGGTGGGGATCTGTGGTGTCAAGATGAATCATTAGCTCTGTTCAAGACTGAACAACAACTGTTCAGTCTCAACATATTTATCTATTGTTTGTGATCATTTCTTTATGTTGCTGTTTTTTCTGTTCATGACAATTACTTCTGTTGACATTGGAAATGTTACTGTTGGGGAAGAGTCTCCTATGATATCATGTGAGGAAATAAAAGACAAAATGTGAGGTAAACTTTTTGAACAATTTTACCACCTTTTACATTTCATCCTTTATTAATGAGTGAATAACAAAGGAAACAACTGTCTGGAAGCATCATGTTTCTTCTGATCGTTTGCAGTAATAATAATTATGAACTTTATTTGTATAGCACCTTTCATATATGCAGCTGATAAATGTCAAATTGATTTTTTGCTCAATTGGAAGAGTTTTACTTCAAGTTAAATTTTAATACGATGTAAACCTGAGGCACAGAGAGAAACGAGCCGTTTGGATTCTAAATGGCTCGTTTTGGACATTTATCGCTTTAGTAAATGGCTTTTAAATGTAAGTGTGCGTCGCTTGTGGCACTGCTTCAATATCCAGGTTAAGACGTTGAACAAACATTTGCCTGGAGGAGCGTGCACGATGCAGAGCAGAGGCAGGATGCGAGGCGCCGAACAGAGGAACACAAGACCAGAAGTGCTCGCGTTGCTTCAAACGACACGGGATCTGCAACCTTTCATTCGGTATGAACCCAATTATTTAACTTCATTTACGTTGATTACTCTTGGACTTCTGAATTAGAACTCATTGCATGTCTCGTGCTCCACAATACGAAAATGCTGCAGTATCGTGCAGAGCACCGCGATCCTTCAGGGGATCTGGTCCCTCTCTCTTTCTCACCGTATCCCCACTTTAAGGCCAGAGCAGGAGGGCGGCATGTTTCTGATGTAGTTTGCCAAGAGCCACTGAGGGGCCAAGGTGCCACAGGTCATGCGATCACAAGACGAACCCATAAAAAGTCCATTAAGCACTGTAGACTGAGAGCCGTGTTGTCATGTACTTGATAGGTCCTGCAAACAGAGCAGCGCTTTGGTCTCAGGCCTGCAGCAGACAGTGACACACACACACACACACACACACANCACACACACACACACACACACACACACACACACACACACACACACACACACACACACACACACACACACACACACACACACACACAGGCCCTGACATCATCACCATCATCCCTTCTGCAACTTACTGCGTCTTCTTATAATCTTTGCATCCAGTGGGCTATTTGCGTGTATATTCTTTAATGCGACGATGAAACAAATGGTTTAAATAAGTTGTGTATTTGTCGTCTATTGTGTAATTTTGCTATTGTGACTTCACTGAAGATAAAAACTTAATTTAAAATTTCTTTTTGTAGTTTGTGATCCACAATGTGGCCACGTGCAACGATCCAGGCTTTCTCGTATTTTAAAAGCAGTGAGAGACAGTTCCATTGTTCAACCTGTGGTCTTGATTGTGACTCACTTTTCCTATGCGCAGCTTCATTGCTTCATTGCTTCATTCAGTGAACGAGGAGCAACGAAATCCATCAATTTAAAACTTTAGAGTCACGGTGCACATCGAAACAACGCATTGCATGGGATCTGTTTTATTTTTATGAAACGCAAAACCAACGTATTTCAATGCAAACTTTAAGTCAGCGGATCTCAGTCAAATGCGACTGTTTCTTATTATAGCTGTATGTTTCACTCTCGATATGCAAAATGTTGCCTTAGTTCTCAATTGACTTCAGTTTGGTTTCGACTTTGACGAAAGCGAGGCCTTGCTCTTAATTTTTCTTTGTCCTGAGCGCGTACGAATAATAAACTGTGATCATGTAAAGGGACACACAAATCCAAAAAAGTATGAATAACATGAATAACAGTTGTTTTTTTTTTGCACGTTTTTATTAATCTGGACAATTAAGTACCGTATGTTGAAATGTATTGAAATGAAAACCAAACTTTGTGTAGAAAATTAAACTTCTATTAGGGTACAATATCTCATGAGCTATAAACTATTTGTTATTTAACTGACTTTATACAGTTTAAAGTTAGCCGCACTCATGTGTGAACAACGGGCCGCAGACAACAATCAGTTCGGCCATTTAAGAAAGTGTTTCTATCCAAATACGCTGCGTAATAGCGGTACACAAGAGGCCGCTCCGCTCAGGACAAGCAACTAAACAAAAAAGAAATCAGACTTGGACTTATCCAGTTACATATAAAACATTCAGGGATTTTTTTTTTCGCCTGAAGTGCAGACCACTACTCACTCACGCTTGCCCACAAGCTATGAACTTGGGCCATAAAGATTTACTGCCTCAAAAGGTGGGAAAACTCTATTAAAAATAAAAAGCGCTCACATTTAGGTGCGTAAACATTCCGCTGCGTCTGTGGCCTCAAGTCAAAAACATGGGAAACGTTAAAAAAATGAAATATGAAAGATATGAAAATTAAAACAGATTTCTTTCATAATATTAACTCCGCACAGTCTACTGTACGATTCAGTCTCATATACTGGCCGAACAATGCGTTGTCCAAACTCCGCGCCGGAAAACAAGAGTCCACTTGTGGCATCTCTGTTGAGACATGGAGATCTCTGCTTCATTTTCCAATTCAAGTCAATTGTTTTACGCCGTAAGACGAAACAAATGAATCCATTTTGAGCCTCTGAATATTTACTGTCTGAAGATCTTCTTGCCAAAATCTGATTTAAAGAAAGAAAGAAAAACAAAGTTGAAGTTCCTCGTCACAAATGAGCTCATTCTGTCGATTAAGTCTCCTCTCCGGCTCCCAGCGGTGTTTCCTCTCTGTTCTTCCTGGCCTGAGGTGCTTATTTGGCCAGGCTGCAACTTTCAACTTGACCTTGGCCTCCAGCCGCGTCCAAAGCTGCGCGAGGAAGAGTGCAGCCAAAAGTGGAAGCTTTGGATATTTTTTGTGGTCACCGAATTTGAGTTTCCATGGACATATTACGGTGCCAAATGTGGGGGTGTTTAAATGTTTATATATTCGTTTTGATTTTTTATTTACAGGACAGATGCATCAATATTTTCTGTAAAATGCATCTGTGTAATCTGTGTGCGTAAAAGCATCGCTCAAATCCATTCAGTTCTGATTATTTAAGAGTATGGTGTCCCATTATGTCAAACTCTACAATTTTCACTGAATGCGCATAAAAGATACATCTTAAGATATAGACCAAAAATAATTTTGAATCAAAATATCATAATCCCCTTTACTTTAACCTGAAAGTGTGCGTAAATGTAATGGCACGCGTAATTGTGCATCACATCCGACGGGAATAATATACATATATCACTGTTTTTCTCACGCTATTAGACAATTCTTTATGTAAGTCTGCTCTAGTTCCACTGATTGATCGACGGGATTTGTCTCGACATCACATGTGTTCAGGATTCAGATGAACAGCTCAATTTGAGATTGGAGGAAAAATATATCCAGGGCTTATGTGCGTAAAAAAACGTGGATATGCTGATGTGCAGCGTCTCCACAAACACTCACAGCCTGATCTGCTCTATTTGATGTCTAGACGTTTATCATCTCCTTTGCATATCACGTGCTCGACCCTGGCCAATAACCTCGCGATCTTGATGTACTCAGGCGTGTTGGTATCGTTACTCTGCCCGAGTCCCTGTCTCTGTTCAGTCGAGGGGATTTTGAAAAAGAGTTGGTCGTCTCGATGTAGGGCATGCTATGACCGCCTCATTGCTCCTCCACTCGCACTGGATTGACCCGGTGATGTTCCTCTACGACAACGGCTTGGATGAGAGAAGCAAGAACATGGAGGGATTTACTGGAGGCAATTTCGCTGCGAACCAGTGCAGGAACTTGTTAGCGCATCCGACCTCGCTGGCGCCCAGCACCACCTACACTGCGAGTGAGGTGCCAGTCTCTGGCATGGGGGAGCCTGGCAAACAATGTAGCCCCTGTTCTGCCACTCAGAGTTCACCCAACGCGTCTCTGCCCTATGGATATTTTGGCAGCAGTTACAGTTATCCATGCAGGATGTCACACGGCAGCGTCAAGGCGTGCGCGCAGCCCTCTGGCTATGTCGATAAATACATGGACTCCTCTGTCACCGGTGAGGAGTTTTCGAGCAGGGCGAAAGAATTTGCTTTTTACCAGGGCTACTCCTCTGGTCCCTACCAACCAAGCTACTTGGATGTGCCTGTCGTGCCGGCGCTCAGTGCGCCAACTGAGCCAAGACACGAGCCTCTGTTGCCCATGGAGCCTTACCAGCCATGGGCCATCACCAATGGCTGGAGTGGTCAAGTTTACTGCACCAAGGAGCAGCCACAGCCAAATCCTCTGTGGAAATCCTCGTTACAAGGTATGTTTAAATTCTTTTTCTATCATAAACGAGCATTGATTAAGAAAATGTGCAATTAAACTGAAGACATTTGAATTTTAAATATGTTTAACGTCAAATATGTTGAATTCACTGCTTTACGCACATAACAATAAAGAAAACAAAACAGAAATCCTAAGTAATTGCTAGAAATAATGATAATATTGTAAAAATCGTTTTCTCTCTGTTCCATTGAGCAGATTGAAATATGACATTGCATTTCCCTTCCCTCCTCAGAATCCATATCTGCTGGAGACAGCTCTGTCCGCCGTGGGAGGAAGAAGCGTGTGCCATACACCAAGGTGCAGCTGAAAGAACTGGAGAGGGAGTACACCACCAATAAATTCATCACCAAGGACAAAAGGAGAAGGATATCCGCGCAGACGAACCTGACAGAGAGACAAGTGACAATCTGGTTTCAGAACAGGCGCGTAAAGGAGAAGAAGATCGTTAATAAATTCAAGAGCTCCAGTTAGCTGTGGAGATACTGATCAGGAGGTAACATGCGGACATGGATGCGCTTTTCCTCCACTCCCCAAAAAACTGTGCTATAATTTATTACATATGAAGGTTTTCTTTGACGCCACTGTGGCTCCGTTTTTTTTTTTTGGCCCACTCCTTTCCTTCCTCACGTTTTAATTGGAACCAGTCGATGCGGCCTGTTGACAGAGGATCGGACATGGTTTGCAACATGTTAACCAAGGCGACTCTGCGAGGGATGTGTGATCTCCTGAAAACATTCAGCAAATGACACGAGATTTGATTTTGAAGGCCAGAGACACCCAGAGAAAACACGCGCCCTAATCCAGATGAAACAGAAGATTGAAAGTGTGGAGAACGCTCTAGAATCAGTTATAATTTTCTTTTTCACACAATAATGCAATGTCCAAGAAAAAAAGCGGAATAAATGTCTGAGATCATGACAGAAGAAACGGGCCCAGATTAAAAACGCCTAATATATCAATAATAAAACGAATGAATCTGTAAATGTATATTTTACGCATTCGTTCAAACTAAAGAGAGTAAAACAACTCGTTTATTAGTGGATACATAATGACATTTTAAAATAAACTTCATTTCACAATTTGAGAAGATTTAAGAGCTTAGACATATCTGCTTTTTAATCACTTCTTTTCATTCGTTCAGTTTATCTGTTCGTTTGTTTAAAAGTGATCAAACAGTCTCAGAATGTCCAAACTGTCCTCGTCACGTCTTCTCTCTGGACACAGGATATTTATTCAGGAGAACTCGCCTGTCAGCAGACTGACCTCCTCCCTGTCAGCCCAGAACGATTCCTCGTTACAGAGAAGTGGTGAAACAGTGCGCATATTTAAACATGTAAATACTATCTCACTCCAACTATCTATTCTCCCTTTTTTTTGACTGCAATAGCCAAAGTTTTTCACAATAAATGTTTGAGAGACGCTTTGTGAACTTGTCATTTTCATTTATCCCGTTGAGACCAGAACGAACACGAGTGCTCGATCTGAGAGGAGCAGATTTATCGCTTCATCCGTTCTTGTCATGGTCAATTTTAAAATGGTCACAGTGAATATTGTCTGAGCTGCTGATGGTGAGTCGAGGCCTCCAGGAGCCTGAGCCACTGAGAGTTCATGTCTCCATCTAGTGGCGAAGCTCTGACAGCACAGCCTCGGTCCAGGAACTCTATAGTCAGTGCATCTTATATCTTAGACTTCGCCTATTGCAAATAAATTAAATCACGTTAACAATTTACTGCTTAGGTAAGAAATAAAAATCCTATTTCGTCATTAATAATAATACATTTGTATATTATTACAACTACACGAAATAGAGGTACTATAGTAGTTACATATTTGACAAAATAAAGCCGGGGAAGTCACAACGACTTTTATTGTTGTTATTGTTGATCTGATAATTATAATTTTTGTTGTAACTATCACCTCAAATGTATAACATCTCATACTTATTAGTATTAAGTCCTATATCTTTTATGATATATATGTTACAAATATTTTTTATTGAATCAATGTTTTAATACAAACATAATCGTGATTGGTTAAAATGAAAATGAAAAATCTTTTATCGAATTATCTCATTTTCATTTTAGTTTCATTGATGCTTCATTTCTTAAAATACATTTGAACTGACAAAGTTAACTAATGGACTCACGGACCAACATCTTTTTTTGTCAAGTGCAATTCAAGATGTCCTTTCCAAAATCGAAAATCATTGGTCACAATCCATTCGTATATTAATTCATTAATGCTTAAAATGCAGAAATCCAGTGATAAAAGTCTCAGTCTCTTTTGTTTGTGTACAATTATTACATGACCTGTCTCTTTTCATGATGACGTTCGTTGTGTTTTTTTCAGTTTGCAACAGAAAAGACTGACACGTTATCCAAACAAACCAACCGACCCATTTACCAACAGCTCCTTTACTGTTACGCACAGATATTTTCGATATTTCACCGTATAGTCCTGCTACATACAGTGATATATTGTAAAATTAAATAATGGTGTGAACATGATTCATAGACTGTTTTGACATTTACATTAAGATAAACCAATCGACCTCGATGAACAGGCTATATTTGTCCCAGGATAAGTGATTTGTATTTAATATAGATGTATTTGATTCGTCAGTTTGTGCCATGCAGAGAAGCTGTAGTTCCAGATAACGAGGCAGCAGAGAGTCAACCTCATGTACAAACAGAGGGAATTCACCAACAATAGCAGACACGTTTATCGTTGCACTTAGAGGCCTGGCTGCTGATAGACTGGGTATGATGGCTAAATGAAATCCATTAGCACAGGTTTCTCATTAGTAGTGATTTTCTGAGCATGTGTGCTTCTTTGTTGGTCACTTTTTGTGGGTGCTTCTGGCATATAAATATTCTTCCACCTTGTTGAACCATAGTGGAGATGGACTTAGAGACTTCCCTCTGTGGATCTCCTGTGCAGGGGTGGCTCTCCTCTCTTCCCCTGTACCAGTGCTCCCCCTAACAGCTCAACGCGTTAATGCAGCTCACTCACAAAAAGGCCCGTATAAATACTGCAGGGCTTGAAGTGCATGAATCATTACAGGAATAATAAGAATAAAAACATGATGTAAACCGCAGATCAAAACCTGTGTGAAAACCGTCAAAATTTAAAAATGTACCCTGACTTTAAATTTAAAAGTTTCCATTTGCTATGGAGGAAATTGGAGCCAATAAAATTCACAGTCACAAAGACATAAAAGGCTGCACCAGAAGAATGAATAATAAACTTTGATTCGGTCCTCTTAAAAATATTGACAATTATATATATCCTTTAAAAAATACTTATTAGTTGGGGGGGTTATGTTGTAATGAACTTCAGACAATTAAGTAGGACATATCTTTATTTGAAACTCAAATATAATTGAAAAAAAAATGCGCATGAGGCAAATCCCGTGCAGTGTCCACAATCAAACAAATATACTAAACGTCAAATCTTCTGGCATCGGGATCACGCACAGAGAAAGTTTTATTAAGCTTTTAAAGTTGTTCCTTTTTACTGCAGCTTCAGCTATAAACCCCCACCCACCCCCTCAAACAGTACCCTGCATCCGGAGACGCCCCCCTCCACCCCAGGTGCTGTCAGACTGCAGCTACCAACCATCTTTTTCTGCTCCCTCCTCTCCTCCCTGCCTCCTCACATCTTTTATCTGCTGTGTGTTCAGACTGGATTAGTTTTTCTCTCATATTTCACTAAAGTTCACTTTAAATAAAATGAGACCACATGTGGCCGAAGCACGACAAGTTCCAAAAAGACGATTTCATGGTGGAAAAAAATAATACAAATCCCAAAATCAGTAAAGGAAAAACCAGGGACACATTGTTTGTTTCATCTTTAAAATCATATCAACTCAATATCGTTTTGCATGTTTTCTCAGAAACATAAACTCCTCGCAATCCTCACACAGAAATCTTTATTTTATTAAGAGATAAATCTGTTTGAATTATCTTTATTAACACCTCTATGGCTTCACGAATATTATAAAAATGAAGAGATTTGATAATATGCTGTTATTTGTTGTACTCCTCAGCCATTTAAAGGCCCAAGTGATCCAAACACAGTCAAATTCAAACCTCCTGAAACAGTTTTACTGATTTACACCTTCTTTAATTACAAGACAGTTATACATTTAATACCCCCCCCCCCACCTCCTACACACACACACACACACACACTTCAGTAAATGAGATCACACTAAATACCACTTCTTAATACTACCAACCCATGTCTCTAATTTATTGTGCACAAACTTCACAGACCGGCCTCTAAACTCTGAATCTTTTAGTTAAATATTAGAAAATAGCTGCTGGTCAAATAAACTCTGGGATCAAGAGAAAGCAGGACACAGATTTTCAGGCTGTTAAACTAAACCACAATCCTGTGGACAGAAAGTGTACCAAGCAAACTGTTGATATCCAAACCCCGTTATAATAAGCCACACCAGACACATGCGTTAGATCGAAATCTATCTACACTTCCAGCTTATTTTGAACGTCACACATTCATTTTTTTCAGAAATCTTTTGCCTCAAGCTTTAAAAAAATTTCCAGTTTACAAAAATATTGCTTCTGAACCTTTTAAGACGACTCCCAAACGATCAGCCACTCTGGACTTTCTGAGTTTGTTTAAGAAATATATCATTAAATGGCTCCTGGAAATGTATTTAGTATATTTGGCATAATTCCATTTATTTATTTGAAAATATTTATTAAATAATTTTGTACTTATTTTCTACTTTTTCTTACTAGATGATTTCCCGGAGGTCAAGGGTTACCAGGTTTTTCATTTTTTCTCTGTAGCCAATTCATGACTCTTACTACAGTGCGTCAATGGACATTTATTGGCTCAGTTTTTGTTTTTATTTTGTTATGTATTTATTGGCCAAAGCCTGTTGAAGACAGAGCTGCAGAAGGAAGGAGGAAAGTGACAGACTGGGCCACTCCTCCAGTCTCGGGCCTAAATACTGAGGCTGCCCATGAGCGGCTGAACGCCAGCACAGAATAATTATAATAATACAAAAAATACCTTCAAATTTATTATGTAAGACAATTCTAATCACCAAATGAATAACAGCCCCACATGGTAATAACACACAGTCAGTGAGTTGAAGTGGAGCAGCAAAGCACCTGGACGTGAGTGAAATATTACATCCTCCTCATGCTCCCCTGCACATGACAAATTCACAGTCTCTGATGCAGGAAACGTGAATTTGGACTGAATCTAAAAAAGAGTGGTTCATGCAGCAGGATCAAGTGATATGTGACACATGTGCCCACTTCCACTCAGCAGCGCTGACAAATGAGAATGGATTGGAGTGTGGGGAAACAGCCCGTGTCCAACGGTTTATATTGGGCGTTGCAAAAGAGGGAACAGGCGAAGTAAAGATCGGAGCAAATGACTTTTAATATTCATGGCCTATAAACAACATCTGTGTGTTTACATTAAACATTTAACGCGTGCTCTGCCGTGACTGCGTGTATATCAGCTGATTGCCCTCATGTGAACTTAAGCTCTTTGGCCCTATTCTTGTTTATATTCCAACGTTTTATTTTTGCGCATGAATCCTCTGTGCAGTGAGCACATTGTGCACAATTACCAACACGTGGTAAACAACCATACAGACAGTTTAAACATCAACTTTGACGCACACAAACAAGAGAAAACCAGCATGCAGTGAACATAATTCTGCAATGGCGTATTTTTCAACAGAGCCTATATGGCGTTATGCATAAACACATACATGCATATGTCTCCATATATGCATACATGTTTTAATGATGATTGTGAGCATGTTGCTCCGAATAAATAGGCAACATAGCAGCCTTACAAGAGAGAGGGAGAGAGAGAAACAACCAGGCCTGTCTCTACAGGCTATTGTCTCTTTGTCTCCCTGTGCCACACTGGACTGATTCCTGGTAAAAGTGCAGCATGACTCACATCGCTCCGCCACTTGTCGACTCCATTGCTCTATAAATAGCCAGTTGAGCAGTATTAGATTCACAAACAGAGGCTATAGGAATCCATGCATGCATGGGTTCAATGATAAAACAAAAAAAAAGACATTATCAGAACAAATAGCTTTCAAACGTCATTGACGCATAATTGACGCACGTTCCGGTGCAGGTTTCCTTGTCCTATCAAATGCAGCAAATTCTCCATTGTTTCCATTTGTGCTGCAAGGATTAAAGTGTACGTGCATCGTTTACCTCATGCACACATGCACTCTTATTTCTGAAAATCTGACCCTCGCCATCTAAAGTATTCAAATCTCTGCGTAAAGGTTAAGGTTGGGGTTAAGGTGAGGGTTAGGTTTCCAAACTAACTTAAATCTTGAAACATTACGCATGAAATGGGATGTAATTATCTGTTATCTTCTCCTCTGTAATGTGGTAATTCAACAATTATAGTGTACACACAGCCACAAGTAGCCCTACCAATCATATTGTGATCGAAGAACCCGCACTTAAGATATTAGCTCCATCAAAATTGCCCAATTTAGGTCGATGCAAATTTCCCTCTCGGTATTTTTCCTTCCCCATGCAGCCAAAGGTCTTCTTCATAAACTCATTGACTCATATAGCCTACACGTTGAGGCGTAGGCTATCTGTCATTTTGTGCCAGTGGTCACATGGCTTTGGCCCTCAGGAATGGATAGAGATGGATCCCCACGTCAGCTTGTAAGTCTAAGGATTTCTGCTCCACCAGTCTGGCTCAAAGTGACTGGAGCGCAGCGCCGCGGAGGAACAATGCGAGGATTATTGTAGGACGTTTCCAAAGGCAGAATATGGATTTTGATGAGCGGATCTCTGGCTCTAATATGTATTTACCGAGCTGCACTTACTACGTCCCCGGAGCAGACTTCTCGGGTCTCCCTCATTATTTAACCCAGAGCCAGTCCTCTTGCCCCATGACATACTCCTACCACCAGTCCTCAGCGCTGCCACAGGTCCCGTCCGTCAGAGATGTGGCTTTCAGAGACTATGGCATTGATTCTTCCAGTAAATGGCACCACGGCAGGGGGAGCCTGTCACACTGCTACACGGAGGACATCATGCACAGGGACGGCTGGACAAACCCCACCTCACGTGGGGGAGAGATTCTGGTGAAAGGCGGCTCCAGCGCCAGCCACTCCAGCTCCTCCAACCCGGCGCCGGGCTTCCACGGCAGCGTAGGCAGGAACGGCGTCCTGCCGCAGGCGTTCGACCAGTTCTTCGACACGGCCTACGGTGGCGCGGAGAGCAGCACAACCCCGACCGCACAGGCGACGGACGCGGACAGACACGCGGCCAAAGCGAGCCCCGGGCCGGCGCATGCAGGCTCGGACACGGCGGAGAGCTGCAGCCCCAAGTCGTCCTCCGGCCACAGCGAGGAGAAGCAGAGCAAAGGCAGCAGTGAGTAGACACGCTTCATGCAAGAAAGAGAAAAATCTAACGCGTTGCTCTTAAAAGCGTTTTATATGCTGTTTTATATGCACGTAAGGTTTATGGAGGGCCTGTAGATTTACCCTATAACAAAACTATGTTATAAACGACAAGATCACGTGCTTGGGATTGAAATTGGCCGTGAAGACTTTGGCGTTAAGCTTGTCCTCCAAGATTCCAAACAGGATTTCCACATTATGCTGTTGTTGTGCATGAATAGTCTTGTTTGATTAACCTGAAAAAGTTTATTAATATACAAATAATATACGACTTTTTGTATCTCCATATACTGCTTAAATAACAACCCAAACACTCCAGGTGCTCCCTGAACCCTCCACATTAGTGTCACTGTGATTAGAATGCATTTCTTCATCTTTATGTTTATTGTTACTGATTGCTGGCTGAAGTGGGCTGTTAAGGTATTTTAATCTGACTCTTGACCAGATTTAGTCATTGCTCTTATTCAAACACAAGTATTAACAGAATCACTGGTTGAATTAAATCTTATCCTACAACTGCTTTCCCATGCGTGAAGGATTTAACTTAACCAACACAAAACTAACACCACAGGTTTTTACGCACAGTGGAAGCAAAAGCGCACAATAAAAGCACAATATCAGATACATGATACTCCAGTGTTTTTGGTTTTAGGCCCACGCCCTCACTCTTATAAAACCAGCCCGTGTGGATTTACAGATTTTTAATGCGTTTTCACAACTTCCAACACGCAATCCCTCATTCCCAACATGTTCCACTACCAAGTCCAGTCTTTGTTTACAAGAGGCCTGTGAGGATGGAGACACTTGAACTCCAACGATCCACAACTGCTAGAAAGAAGTAGACTCACGATTTCCACGTTTGTTGCCATGTGTCTTATAAAAGATGTGTGATAGGATATGTGTGTGTGTGTGACCTTTGGCCTTTTGTTGTGTCCAGGTGGCCAGAGGACACGCAAGAAGAGGTGTCCATACTCCAAGTATCAGATCAGGGAACTGGAGAGGGAATTCTTCTTCAGCGTTTACATCAACAAGGAGAAGCGGCTGCAGCTCTCGCGGATGCTCAATCTAACAGATCGCCAGGTGAAAATCTGGTTTCAGAACAGGAGGATGAAGGAGAAGAAACTAAACAGGGACCGTTTACAGTACTACACCACGAACCCCTTGCTATAAAAAACTGAACAAAGACAGTGAAACTGGCTCGCAGCCATGAACAATGCACCCCATCATGTAGACTTCACATCTACATCTTTACCAGGACAAGGGGGCGAGATTTTTACTGTACCAGACTTCATAATGAATTCTATTTACACACATTTTTGTCATTAAACACATTTGCCTCTTATTATTATTAATATTAATATTATTATATTATTTTTCCAGATTTTGAAGTTACCTTTTTTGCGTATTTGGAGTTTTTACGCGGAAACCAGTTGTGTCTGAATTTTCTTTCGCCTATACTAGGCTTTTTAAACAGACGGGTGTTTGCGTACTGCATTTTCAAAAAAATGTTTTTCTCCTTAAAATGAAATTTTCCCCAATGTACACATGTACTGTACTGTATTTTCAGCAAATACGTTTTTCTAACCTCTTTTAAATTAAACTTTCTCAATTTTACGCACAATTTTTGTGTCCAGAAACATTGACATGGCATTAATATTCGTGTGTGTCCCCCCGCCCTCTCTTAATCTTTCAACTTTATTGTAGAAATACATCTCGGACAACTGAGAAGTGTTTTCTGTGTCATGGAATTACTCTGTAGAGCCCACCTGGCATCATTGGCGCTGATCAGACTGCGCACCATGAAATGACTCTCGCATAGTTAGAGAATGAGTTAAGTTAAATCTGATCCCAGTTAATTGATTTCACACATTTTTAAGTCTGATATTCAACATCTGCGCTCGAAACTTCAGTACCAGCGCTTTGTTGAGCTCTGGGGCCGTAAGGTCGGATTAATGTCCAGCTTCATTTAAAAAGGGCAAACCGCTGATAAAAGCACAAAAACCCCGTAAATGAAACATAATCCCATATTTTGTTTTAATACGCCAGCACGTGGGTCGTATCAGATGTACGACATGTATGTCTGATGCTATTTATTCCCCCCGATCACTGGAAATAAGATCTGCCGCAGTTATAATTTGATATCCGTTACAAAGGCTTCATTCATGTCCTGGGTGACTTGCAGAGGCTGATTTTGGACCCACCATGCCTGTTAGTGTTTCCTGAAACCATCCTGACACTTGTTTGAATGTATATGGATTTTAACTGAACAACTCTTTTCAGATCATGCACATTTATTTGTGAGTATGCTACCAGGAAAGTTGCTGTCAGGATTAAAGAGCGTATTCACTTAAAGCCTCAGCCTGTGTTGAGGCAGTGACATTGGAATACATACAGAGCTGAGAAACCCCAGATCACTATCACAGTCATCACCAGCATGACCTTTTATTTACTTTAATGTATTATCATCTGGAGTGTAATCCTAAAGCCCTCGCCACTTTTAATTCTAAATAAACAGGCTATGAATTTAGGTCATGGAGACCTTGGCACAATGAAGCACGCCTGCGTAAAGATGATGGGTAAGAGCTCGGTTGAGGTGGCTTTATGTCCACCACAAGGCCCCTGAAAACCGCTTAAATAGCCTGCCATAAGCTAATAAGGGCCCTGATGCCTTCCATATAGCGTGCATCCTGTGAGGCTCCCAGGAATTCCACTTTGATTGCTGCACATCCTCCCAGTTGCTCCAGTAACTTGGCCATAAAACGCGGATTCGTCTGGAGCATTTGGAGTGTAGTGCAATAAAGCGTCTGAGACCAAGGTTATTAACTGTGACTAAGGGGCTGAAAAACAACGGCTGTGAGCATTGAAAGCTTGTGTTCACGGACCTTTCCGGCGTCATTTGTTGCAGCATCTTACCTCGGTAGGAATATTCGGCATTTGTGTTTGCGTCGCGGCGCGTACAGGGCCTGCGTGCCTTTCGCCCACTGGGAGGCGCTCCTCCGATCAATGTCATTGCCGTGAATTGAGATATATTAAAAAAGAAGTTTGGCTCAACTGCTTGAAAATATGTCACCACGCGTCAGGATGTCATCGTTAAGGTAGGCAATGAAATGTTATCATATATTTTTTATGGCTGCACGCTGAGCTTTTTAATGCGATTTAAGGGACGTATGTGTCTCTTACTCCACTTTATCCTTGTTCATCTCCATCTGAGAGGCACTGGAGTGAACACGCTGTTTTTCATTTCAGTTGTAGCTGTTAAGATATAATGGCAGCATTACTGTAAGATAATAGCTAGGAGTAAATAGTGCAAGAAAAGACGTTTTGTTTCTGAGCATCAGATCCAACGCAGCTTCTCAGGTTGCAGTTGCAGAAGTTATGGGCCTGAGGTGACTAACGCACACGAAGATATAAGATCACACGGGCCTATACTGCAAGCACTTTGTGGCTCACTAACTTTTATCATCTCTATACGGGTTAAAATGTAAATTATGGCTCGTTTTATAATTGGCTTTGTGTTCTTTAGATTGTACGTAGACATTGTAAACGTGAAATTATAGAAACTTTAAATTGTCCCATATAAACAATTTGTTCACTTTAATGTTTTGATGCAGCTCGTTGAATGTGCGTTTGTGTGTGTGTGTATGTATGTATGTATCTATGTATGTGTGTGTGTGCGTGTGTGTGTGTGTGTGTTTCATCGTGAGTGCCAAGGCGTGCGTGCTAACATGGATACAGCCAAAGCTGGACATTGTTTTGACGCAAAACAATTAATCCACCTTTTATTTTTCAAATATTCCCTCAAGAAATATTATTTATGGAATAAAAGCTCAACTTTGATGGGAATAGAAAATATCCACAGCTCGCACATTGGAGATCATCACAGCAGATAATCTAATAGGCTTAATGAAAATGATCATCCATTGCAGCCAGACATGCTGCATGTTTGACGCCATATTAAATGGCAGTACATAAAGTGTAGCTCTGATTTCTAGACTCTTTGGCTCCAGACGTACAGGAAAATGGATGCAGTCGACGTCTTTCAGGCTGAAACCATCTTTGGAGCCATGCAGGCTGACCTAAATCTGTTAGGCCTTATTAACTCTTAACCATATTGTCCTAAGGAAGTATAATGGCATGTCTCTGAGGTTTTCTTTTTTTTATATTGTTGAGGTCAGCTAAGGTTTTTTTAATTACTCTTTGTTTATTTACATGATGAATACAAACTAAACTAATATCCCTTTTATCTGTTTTATTTATCTTACAAGGCGACCCTGTACAAAATAATCAATACCAGATATTCAAGTGTTTATTTCTAATTAAGATTAAAGTGTACCAAATACTACATTTAAATTATATTTGAAAATCTTTGAATATTTTACCCAAGAATTAACCATTTATTTATTGAGGTCTTTTATGCGACTAGTTTTTATATTTTTTTCTTTCGCTTTACCAGCAACTCAAATGTGAAGGACTGCTGAATAAAGAACATATTTAATCTTCTTTCCAAAAACTACTACAATTTAAAATTAAAACAGACGCTGAGCTGAGAGACGCTTTTATTCGTGCGTAAAAAGATTATTTGTGATTAAACCTATTTTAAAAGAACTATGTCAGTAGGATCTTGGAATAAGTGTGTGTGTGTGTGTGTGTTTCTGTTCAGTGTGTTTGTGCCCGTGTTGTGTTGGTGATTGTGTTTATGTTGTGTATGTGTGTGTCTAGATTGTGCGTAAATACTATGAGAAACTATTTCTTGTAGTTCTCTTGCGCGTTAATAGCGAGATAATGTAGGTTCATATTTCTGCACAGGGTAATTCTTTGGTGAGCATGGAGGAAAGAAAAATGTAGCTCCAGGGCTTTGTTCAGCTGAGGCGCTCGCTCCAGTGCCTGCGTGTCACCTTCATAAATGCTCAACACAGCCTTGCAGTTAAAAAAGGTGACTGGACTTAGCCATGGAATTTGCAGCCACAGTTTTCACACCAGCACTATCTGAAGCTGGAGGAGCTCAGAGGGGAAGTCTTGCAGACATGTTTGGCGAGTTGAAACAACATGTGTACACTGCAACTAAACAGGCCACGAGGAATGTTTAAAATGGCCAAATAATAATAATCATCATAGCAGCACGAGAAGGGTTGAGAGTCCCTCGACCTTTTTTGGATCTTTGACGCACCCCGAGCTTCTCAGAGGCTCCTCCAGAACCCTTCATTTTTACAGTGCTGTAAAACTGGCCATAAAGCTATGCATTGTACATAATTGTTAGGGACAGCTTTCAGCAACTGAGTTGTCAAAGAGAGGCTGCTGTTAAATTTAGATAAAGGCAGCTCTGGGCTCCACAGGCGCTGATTGAGGCTCAAAATGCGAGATTCTGAGGAGATTTAAAGATTTTTACCTAAAAGCCCTCTGATGCGCCACTTTCCCACCACACTTTTCTCTTTACTTAGACTAAAACAAAATATATGGCACAGTGGAGCAGCCCGGTCTGACTGGGAGGAGTCTGTGCGCGCCTGGTGTTTTAATTGGCTGCAGGCTACAGTGAGAAGCGTGAGTATCAGTAATTATTCAGCAATGTTTTGCACAAGAAATGTCAGCCAGAAAGGGCTATCTTCATCCTCCGTCAAATTATACCACAACGATGACATGCCCCAACAACCAAGCTGGAAATTCATTTTTCGTGGACTCCTTAATCAACGTAAGAACCGACAGCGGTTCGTATTACCAGAGTAACGGCGTGTATCTGCCACCGGCGTCGGAATATTCATATGGACTCTCCGGTGCGGGCTCTTGTTTCCCGGGGATCGGTAAGCGCAACGAGCCGAGCACCCAGAGCGTGATCCCTGCTTCTGCTCCGTATGTCCAGGGGATGGAAACGTGGCTGGAGACGTCGAGATCCTGCCGAGTGGATCAACCCAGCGGCCAGCACATGGCTCAGTGTTCCTTCTCACCGACGATAAAAGAGGAGGGCGCATATTGTCTTTACGAGTCTGACAAATGTCCAAAAGGAGCGACAGTAGATGACATTTCCTACTCGACCGCATCATGCCCGGTCACCGGCAGCACCGTGCCGGTCCCCGGCTACTTCCGCCTGTCTCAGACATACACGTCCTCCAGGCTTTACCATGACGTCCAACCAAGCATGAATCACTTTACCCTGCAGAGACCTGCCCGCTTGGACAGCCAGTCCTCCCAGCCGCCGGCTGCGCCCGCGGAGCCGGAGCGGAGGGAGAGCCACGAGGAGGCGCCTGTCCCTGCGCCCTGCGCCCCGGCCAGAGAGGAGGACAGCCACCTCTCCTCGGAGAGCTCATCCTCCCCCGAGCCTGCAGAGACGTGCAGTGTGGAGTGTCCAGAAAAGAGCGTCAAAGGTTAAGATTCAACAAAGACTACATTCAAAATAAAAAAATAGAGGGCATGCACATTTAGGCGTCAATTTTTACAAAAGTCTAACCACAAATTAACGCATGAGAATAAGATTAAGTTTTCTTACCCAGAATTAATAATTAGGTCAAGTAGTGAGCCACTCATTGGTGTGTGTTAACTCGGAGTATTTACTGTTTTTTTGGGCATGAAGAGAAACTGAACATGACTGAACCAATCAGAGCTGAGAAACAGAGCAATTGCTGTTTTTTAAGATCACATATAGACTACCACATCTGTGCTGTGACCTATTGCAACACAATTCATCCAGGTCTTACAGATTTATTTTTAACAAGTAAGTTTTGATAACTGTAAAACAGTCTAATAATTATTATTGTTTTTGTATTATCAGGGTTTAGTTAATATCTAGTCTAAGGCCAATGTAATCTGGTGCATCTGCCCTGCACAGCACTGATTTCTTTTTGTCCTCTCGTCAAAGACACAGGCCTCGCTATATTTTCTGCAGACTGTTTTATGTCATAATTAAGATGCAGTTGGCTACAGGCTGCTGTGGTTAAGGCTGTTAAACGGTAGCAAATAGCAGTGTCTGGTAAAGTGCTGAGTTGCATTTATGAGGCTATCCACAGAGCTCTCTGGTTGTGCGTAAAATCGTAGTAGAAATGAGTCATTACGCGTCCATGTAATCTATGGTTGTGTGGTACGTGCCAGGTCACAACGTAGGATTTATCCAGCCAACATACCCAATGGTTTGAGACCGCTGTTTAATCAACTCTACAAATTTAGATTGTATTGTATTTTAAATGTTTCTCGTCTGTAATGTTTGAAATATGCTGCAGTTAAAATGGATGTGTCACACCTGTTGCCTTACTTCTTGTAACGTGTAATTCCCATTGTCATTGTAGGAGATGGGAAAATGGAAAGTACGGCTAATTGGCTCACAGCAAAGAGTGGCCGAAAGAAGCGCTGCCCCTACACCAAGCACCAGACTCTGGAGCTGGAGAAGGAGTTTCTCTTCAACATGTACTTGACTCGGGAGCGTCGCCTGGAGATCAGCCGCAGTGTGCACCTCACTGACAGGCAAGTCAAAATCTGGTTCCAAAACAGGAGGATGAAACTGAAAAAAATGAGCCGGGAGAATAGGATCCGAGAGCTCTCCAGCAACTTCAGTTTCTCATGAAACTGTCTGCGTCTCTGGCGCCCTCCTGCATCCATGGCAAGGGCGCCTGTGCAGATCCCCCAACACCCACCACCCTCCCAACTGTGAGAATGTCCATGGAGAAAATAGGACCCTATGCTAACTTATTGATTGTTGTTCTTTGGAAATTGTTATTTTCACGTCTGTTTAAGTTTTTTTGTCGTGGGTATTTGTATTTATAATGGCTACATTTGTAACGTTGATCCATTGTGTTGATAAAAAACTGTTCAGAATGTGACCACAATGTTTCAGAGCTGCAGGCTTGTACATATTGTATATTCAACTTGAGTGAATCATTGGAACTTGCATGCTGGACTAGTCCCTTGGGATTCTTGTGTTACAGATACGTGTAGGCCTTTTTGTGTGACAGCTGGAGGACCCAAGAGGTTGGATGAATATTTGCACATTTTGCTGGTCAAATTAATAAAAACCATCCCTGCAATTGTAGACTTTTTTTATTTCATTCAGAGAGGGGGGGCTGCGCGCTGTTTACACTTTAAAGTTGGCACATGTACAGTGCGTGGTGCTGATGGTGCCTTTGTGTTTTGGGCTGTCAGCTGCGTCCACAATAAACATTACTACAGTAGCTGAGCGAGTTGTTCTCCATAGTTTGGCCTGTGATGGATGTCCGTGCACACTTGAGGCTTTTCGTCCTTAACATCAGATTTAAATGTGAACCACACAAAAAAGGAGCAATTGTTTCTTCTCGTTATTCTAAATGTGTTTCTAAATTAAAGTAAAGGTGCCATTTTAAAGGACAAACACTAATTTAAGTTTTTAATGATTCATTTTAATGTTACATAGACAACAAAAGTCCAAAATGGTGCAACAGTTTCGTGGTGCACGATGTTGGACTATGTGGCTTCCTTTTCTAATTTTAGCATTTGTTTGATTATTGTCTTTCCACCTTTACAGGTTTCCAAATATTTGGGCAGATTTTAACCCGAGAAACTACAGTTTTCACACTAAAACACGTTGTTAAAACACGTTGTGGCAGATTTTGCAGAAGAGGAGAGCGGACTGTTGAGTGGTTTAGGTAGTCTCATGTTGTTGGGCTAAATTATTTCTCCCACAACACGAAACTGCCTTGATTACCTCAGTAAAACTCGTCGCAACACGAAAAGCGCATCACGATTAATCACTGGTTGGTTTTCTTTTTTTTCTTTTTGTTCATAATTTGGCACAGACTCTGAAGCAAAATAGATTTTTCCAAAACAAGGTGCAATAATGGGTTTTATTGTTGTGCGTAAAATACTCGAGAGGATTTTATTTTCATGTGGATCTTTTTTCCCCCATTGTATGCAACCTGTTATGTAGGATATGTATGTATCTGGAAATGGTGAGATTAATCTTCAGAGATTCAAACTTTACTGTCATTTACTGCGCGTCTGATTTTAGCAGCAGGGCATAAAGATGCAGGCTGCAGGGAAATGAAGGGATTAAAGCCTGTATATGTCCAGCAGAGCAGCAAAGGACAGACAAGGCCTCGGTTATGATCATTGCAGTCTGCCAGTTGCCTCGCCGTAGGAAATGCCGGATGCGTCTGCTCACCCAGAGAAAGGACACAAAGGCCGAGCTTTATTGGTGATATTTAGCTTAGACAGCCAGGTTGTAACCTGAAGAAAAACAACCCAATTGCCCGTGATAAAAAGGACTGTTATATAGCACCCAAATAACCTCACCCCACTCTCCGTTTTAGATTGCCTTTGAAGGCAATCTAAAACGGACACAGACGCACCAATGCGCATCCTGGAAACTGAACCAGTCTAAATGCGTTTAGATCTTGTAAAATCCAACGATCCTTTAAACACATCTTTGCTTGTTCTCTCTTATTTAAAGAGATGTTGCACAATCCAGCCGCCGAGAAACTGACATTACTTTCCAAAAATAAGAGTTTTATAGTAGGAGGTCATAACATTATTATAGGTTGAGCCTTTTTACTGTTATTATTTTGGATAATAAGTAATCCCATCAGGTTTTTTACGGAGACACACATTTTAAAGAAATAGCTTGTTTCACAAATGGACACTTTCAAGTAGTGTTAGACCTGCCCCTCATCACAACTATGTTCGATTACACCAACATTACATCTCCTGACAAAAAAATCAAACGTTTATTGCTTATAAAACGAAATATTCCCCAATAAAGGCGCGGGGATTTGCTATTAAAATGTGGTGGGGAAAATGGTGGCCATTTAGTTGAGCAGCAGGCTGATTTATTATTTATTGTTCTGTCCCACGGTCACGTGTTTGGGGCGCCCTATCCAGTCTTGGGCAAGGTTCAACTTGCTGGACGCATTGAGCTCCAAGCTGGTGCAGGAACGCAGCACATTTTATCATGCAATGAATTTGTTTTTTGGAAAGATTGCAGGATTGTGACGCTTTAGCTTTTTTGCGTTTTGCCTTTCTTTGCAATGTCGACGCTGGGCACGAGTTACTATCTTGACTCGCGTGTTCTTCCCGAGCAGGAAGATATGGCACCGAGGTACTCATCAGCTGCAGGGGTGGAGCAGGCGGTGCTCACCGAATATGGCGGACAGGAGTCTTGTCCTTTGCAGGCGAAATCTTCTATTTTTGGTGGATCTTGGAGTCCCATCCCGGCCCATCCTCCCAACACAGCCGCCCCGACCTACATACATCACCACTACACGAACGGGGACAGCGATGGCATGTTTACGCGCTCCTGGGCGATGGACCCGGTCTCTGCGTCCCTGTGTTTGACGGGATTACCGTCGGCGGCCATGCACTATGAGATAAAACCCGAGCCCCTGATTGGGAGCGCTGAATGTACAACTTTGGAGACGCACACACCTCTTTTGTCTGACATTGAAAACGGAGCGTCCCTTGTGGAGATTCCTTGCGAGACCACATCCACGTCTAAACCCTGTGACGACAGCCCGTCAGCAGAGGAGAAGAGCGAGATAGACACAAGTAAGCAATGCACCGTTTTACTTACTACCGTGGTCACTCTGTGGAGAAATTTAGATGAATGGAAACGCTTGCAGATTTAATGGGAGTGTCTTGGATGTCACCGATTTAGCTAAAAAAAAAGCGTGCGTAAAAGCCCTTTATTGGTAATAGCACCCTGCATATTTTTACATGTATATTCGTCAAGGTGGTTTGCACACACCACTGCGTAATTACGCACACATTCCAAAAGGGTTTGGTAATGATTTCAATATCACTGTCATCAAATTGCTCAGCGCACAGTGGAAATAAACCAGATGATTCCTTTACAAATGTATAACCTTGTCAGGGGCAGCATGCCTAACCCCCCACTCTCTAGACTACACAGCCTTGTTTTATGAATCCTATCCTGACTGGGAGCGTTTGGGGCCTAACTCTCTTCTCTCCTGGTTCTGACCACCCCCTTGTTTCCAGATAACCCGTCATCCAACTGGCTTCACGCGAAGCCCACCAGAAAAAAGCGCTGTCCGTACACAAAGCACCAAATCCTCGAACTGGAAAAGGAGTTTCTGTTTAACATGTACCTCCCTCGGGACCGTAGGTACGAGATAGCCAGACTGCTGAATTTGACCGAGAGGCAAGTGAAAATCTGGTTTCAGAACCGCAGGATGAAGATGAAGAAGGAAAACAGGGACCGGCGGAGGGACAGTTAACCCGGTTCTGAACTGATGGAGGATTATAGAGTCCGAGACAGAAAGAGGGGAAGGAGAGGGGGGAGGGTGGGGGTCGTCTGTCCTTAGTATTCCTGAGCTGTTATACATGTGGTTGTAAAGTTTTGTGTTGTTGCTTTTTTTCCCTTCTCTCTCTCCAGTGATCCAGTGTTTACGTGTGTGAGGGGACACAGTGTCTCGTCACGAGTTTAGATGTTGTACTTTGCGCGCGCGCACACACACACACACATAGTATAAACTATAATAGGCCTATTTGTTATCTGCATGGAATTATCCTCGACTTTTACCTGAATGTCTTCTACGCTACCTATGTTCATTGTTTAAGTTATTTTATTATGTTTTTGCCACTTTAGACGTTTTTTTAAACCATTTGTGAAAACACTGCACATTTAAAAAAAATACCTCGTCGTTCTTAGTTTCATCT